CTCTAATGCAGTTCTAAGCCAGTAAGGGTATTTTAAAACTATACTTTTGCTTTAGGAGAACTTGTCCATATTGTTCTGATTATAACCTTTGAAATGATTATGATCAAGTATATCCTGCAGAGTAATTTTACAGGTGGCCTATAACCCCTGTTGCACCATTCTAGGGTCGTAGCTCATTCATCCTGTTTCTATGACTTCCTGAGGTCCCTGGGTCCATACTTCCAGTTCCTGCACAAGTCCACAGGTAGCACAGGGCTAGTGCCCAGAGCTTTACACGTCTCTCTGTTCTAGTTCCCTTCAGCTCTCTCCCCTGTTCCCTTCTTTCCCAAGTGCATTTATTTTGGGTCTTGATTTCAGGACTTTGCATGTTTTCGATCCACCTTCCAAGGGTCATTCTTTATTCCCTGACTGGCTGTGTGACTGTTTTCCCTGAGGACAGTTCCTGACATTCTGTGGGAGCCAGGGGAGAGCAGGCAGGATGCTGACTTACCTGTCCTGAGGATTCTGTTTATGCTGTACTAGAGTCAGTGCTGACTTCAGGTCTGATCAAGCTGGATTTGAATTTTGATGCTGCCAGAGAATAGCTTCAGATGTTACTTTTTTTCAGTTGAAGAATGGGAATATCCCAGCCACCCACATCCAAGTGGCTACAGTGCCTGAGTGTAATGTGTCTGTGAAATTTTGCAGCTATCTGGTAGGAGCTCAATACATGCAGTTTCCCCTCATGTCCTCTGCCTTCTGGTGGGTCTTAAAGATGGAGGAGAGTATCTGGCAATCCCAAGAATTGTGGATCCCCTACAATAGGAGTTTCACTGCAAAAAAGTACCTGAGTGTAGAGTTGCAGCTGCAACCTTTATCTTTACAACCCGAGGAAGTACTTTATACAAGAGCAGTTCTGACACCAGGACACAGAGTTCCCATGCTTCATGAAGTTGTGGTAAGTTGATGCCAGCTATTTGTATTTACATGAGTTATTAAGAAACATAAATAAATTAAAATTCATCATCATGTAAATTTCAATTACATACTGCTCATGTTACTCCATATATTCAAATGCTGCTTGTGGGTTCATTTTTACAAAATTATTCTTTGTACTGTGTGTAAAAAATAGCATAAATCTTTAAGTGCCAAGCTTTTTTTCCCCCTGTATCTATAAATGGCATTGTCCTCATGATTGTGAAGTTTGTTTATCATCTGCAGTTTCTGGCACTATGTCATGATTTCTTATGCTGACCTCTGAAAAATCAGAAATCTGGACTCTATATCCCAGCTCATCTTTCCAGGGGTGTAGCTGGGACAGGAACCAGACAGCCTCTGGGTAACTTCCTATGAGTAAGAACTGGTGTGATGGCTTTCATTGCTACCAGAGTAGCAGTTAGGATGCATTGCCAGGAAAGCAGAAGGAAGGTAACCTTTAACTTAATGAACCAAACAAAGCACTCATTAATGCGGAGACATCCAGGATGTAGAGCTGAGGCATGTGTCTACACTGACCATCTTGTGTACTAGCTCCTGAGCTCTTTTTGCCTGTGGATGGTGGAGTCTGTGGTTGCCTCAGGGAGCCCAGCAGTCTTGTGAAGGATGGGGGCCCTGTGGCACCACTTAGTCCTCCTGTGTGGGGAGATATTATGTTCCATGAGGCCAGAGGTCTGAAGGCACAGTGCTGGTTTCTTCTGGTGGTGGCTCCTTTGGGTATCACCCTGTTCACTACCAGGCTTTGTATTTGCCTTTGTCTGGAAGCCCTAAAGTGGGGCTTGGGAACTTGTTTAATGAGCAGGCAGCATTTTCTCTGAGCCTTGAGCACAAGCTGAGTTCCCAGAGGCAGGCGGCTGAGGTCTGAAAGCCACTAAGCACCAAGTCCCAAAGCCCATGCTGACCGACGGTGGGTGGTACCATCTGCGCCCAATCTGACCCAGTCTCATGGTGTGACCCACAGATACAGTTCTGCAGGTGGCCTTTTGCGTGCTCTTGTGTGAGGGTTCACTGTCAGCCTCAGCAACACTGCAGCAGCCCCAGGGTCTAGTAGGCTTCACAGGGCATCAGGACCCTAGAGGAGGTTGGCTTGGGAGGGCAAGCTGGCTTCTCAGAGCTGGTCAGCCTCGAGTTTGCAGTCATCAGCCACATGGACTGTTTAACCTATCCCTGTCTTAGCTGCCGCCCTCGCTTCTAGAGGAGCTCAGCCTGTCCTAGATATGATATACAAGGACAGCACCTTTGACCACAGGGTTAGAAATCAGAAACATACTGTGATGTCACTGTGCAAGTCATCTACCACCTTTACACCTTGGTTTTCCCTATGACAACTCTTGGGTCACCCCAGAAGACCTTGGAAAAGCTCAGGACGCATACTTCCAACTCAGCAAACTTTTCTTAGCTCTGTGGGTCCTTGGCCAGGTGGGTGGCAGTGCCCTGGCAGCATCTGCTTAAGTAACATTGCAGAGCTTGCATCCTGAGGATGGCACAAGATCCCCAGGGTCCCCTTCAGGACCCACATGTGCTCAGACCTTAGGTATCTGAACCTTGAAGACCCCAAGCTCAGCAGTGCCTGGACCACCTCAGAATGACCGCATCCTGCTCTCACAGTTCCAGTCACCTCTTGTTAATGCCCACCCCTTTGGATGCCAGTGTTACTTATTACTGGGCCCTGGCTGCCATGTGTGCTACCAGTCACTCTCTGGCCTGCTCAGTGATTGTCTTAGTCAGACACACCTTTGGATCAGGGCTGGCAGCTGCGGAGCTGCACCCTGAATCTGGTTGTCTCAGTTCTTTGTTTAGCAGTGGCTCAGTCTGCCTCCAAAAACACCACCTCATTAGTTGTGGGGCTTGATGTGCAAAGCCCCAGCTTGGGATCAGCCTGAGTGTGAGCTGTCCCTGTGGTTTGCTCACACAATCTCCTCTCCTGGCTGGGAACTCCAGGAGAGCAGGTGCACCTGCTGGATTGTGTCTGACCTCTGGCCTAGTCCTATGCAAACACCTTTGTGGGGGCTTCAGGCTGCACAGCCCTGCTTCTTATGGGAGGCTGTGTGGTGTGTGCCTTCTGCATGCAGGGTGATGGAGACATGCCAGGAAGAGGTAACACAGGCTGGTAAATGGACTGCAGCCACATGCTCATTGCTTTTCTGGGTGGTGCTTCGCACAAGTCAGCTGTGTTGACAACTGGAGGCTTCGAGGGTTGGGGAGGCATCCAGACACAGGTGCCCATCTACCCAAGGGCTTTCTGGGCTGGGGGTAACTGCAAACTGAGTCAGGCTTGAAGAATTTCCTGTGATATCTATTGTGTAATGTCCTGGAGTCTGATCTGGGTCCAGGTTGATTGCTTAGACAGGTCCAGAACAGAGGCAGGGTACCAACACATTCATGTCTTTGGAGCAAACCCTTGGACACATCCAGGGCCATGGAAGCAGCAACTGGTCACATCTGGGACCTACACTGCTGCGTCAGTTTCTTGGGGAAGCCCAAGCACAGCACCATGGATGGGGGCTACAGGCAGCATTCACTAATCTCTTATGTGTGGAGGCTGGGGGTCTGGAGGTGCAGCATTGACAGGGCTGGCACCACCTGAAGCCTGAGAACACCCACCCCAGCCTCTGCCTTGCATCTTCTGGTAAGAGCACCCTGGCTCCTCTGATGTGAACTGCCACTCAGTCTTACTCCACCCTAGCACAGCCTCTGCATCTGCAGTCTCTGTCTCAGTCTCCTCTTGTAAGGATTCTGTCTTCCTAAATCAAGGACAAACTAATCAAGATCTTTAGTCAGTGTCTAAAGATCGTACTTCAGATAAGATCCCACTCTGGGATTTGGGGCTGTGTTTAGTCCACCCAGTGACAGTTCGACATCCCAGCTGAGGGCTAGGACCTATTGTGTGAGCTCATCAGGCAATGGCCAGCTGCCCTAGTGTCTCTGAGACCAAGCACAGGGTCATTCCTGGGAGTAGCTGATGAAGCAGATATAGGAAAACGAGATTTAGAGCCTTCAGGTATTTTGACCTTGAATAATAAATGTAGGTGCTTATGAATGTGTGTGGATTGGCTCATGGATACTGCTCTGACAGCAAGTTCACTACAGCAAGTGCACAGTTAGCATACTACACCTTCACAGCATACATCACTGGCCCACAAGATAGTCTCCAGTTACATGCTAGTCTAATTTAGTCTGAAAACCTGGCAACCTCATGCTCTTATCCACAGAGAAGCATCCCATGGACTTGGTACCTTTTCTATGTGCAGTCTCGGGTTGGCAGCATAGCTGAAGGGAGATCTGGGGAAAGCCAACACAAGAAAGATGGGCCTGAGCACCGCCTGCGCTCCCTGTACACATGGGCAGCTTCCCTGACCTTCCTCTTGCTCTTGGATTTCACCACCAGCTTTCTTTTCAGGCACAAGAGACTGCGGACCTGAAGAGAATAATGTGTGCATAAATCTCAGCTCATTGGCTGCATCTGTGCCTAAGGGAAGCTTCTCTGTCGCAAGTGAGGACCCTTGGCCACCCTGATTTGGGTGACACTGTCTTCACCCTCCCTCTTACATCTATCCCTCCAGCTGTGGCTCTGTGGAGTAATAACCAGTGGAGGCTGGAGGCGGAGCCTCAGATGCCAAGGATCACAAAAGACCCAGACCCTCATGGTGCAGAGTGCGTTCCCTGTTTCCAGCCTGACAGCATCCAGACAGGAGGCAGAGAGAAGTGCAGAGGCCAGCATGCTCCAGCCCCATCCTTCTCACGCCCTGCCGGAGCTGGAGCTGGCTACCAGCACACCTGCAGCTCAGGTGAGCAGAGGGCTCTCCAGTCCCCTGCAACTTCCCTGAGGATGACCACAGAAGCAGGAGCAGCCAGCCAGCAGGAGCCTCGGGGGGACAGCCTCTCCAGCACCCTTCCCACTCTTATGAAGCCCTGTGTCGTCAGTGTGGTGACGCGCCCTAGGAAGTTGCCCATGTATGGCTCCCCAAGCGAGTGATATCATCACAATCCGTGGCTCCTGTTTAAATGGGATCATTGGTGAAATGAGATTAGAGCCGTCCGTCTGAGGAGGCAGCAGACCGAGCACCTGCTCTCTAATTGATGTCCCGGGGGACAGCACCACACACTAATCACAGTGTCCGTCTCCATGGCTAATTCTGTTAGCAGCCGCATGCCTGCCTCTTCCGCTCCTTGCCAGGCGGCCCCCACATCCACATGCAGTCCACTCCAGATCCGTGTTTTCTATTATGCTTGAATATATGGGACATGCATCGCGGTCCTCCGCCCGCCACCCTGCTGCAGTGTGCTTGTTTTGCAGAGCTCTGTGGCAGCCTGGCTGGAGTCAGGGCTGACCAGAGAGGGGACACATGCTGGGTCCTTCCAGCTTCCCTCCAGTCCGAGTACGCAGCTCCTGTCTATGTGCTGAGAAGCCTCTGCTCCTTGCATTTGGATGCTGCCAGCAGTGCAGCTGCCACCAAGCCTTGGTAAGTCAAGGATGACTCATTTCTTACTTTTCGTCCCCAGGATGTGGGACCAAGCTGTGGCATCAGGTAGACACTGCAGAGCGTGTTAGCACTGGGCTGGTTAACCTGGGGCTGCTTGCTCTCGGTACTTTGCAGCATGGTTTTCCATTTGCCCCAACTCACAGCCCGAGGCTGCACTGCTTTGCAAGTCCAATACTCCTCTCCCCAGGGAAGGCAGCAGTGGCCTGGGGGATTAATGTTACTGCAATCAGAAAGCATCTTAATTGCCATGGAGGATTTGGGGACACAGCTCCTGCACGACAGTCTAGAAGTACAGCGATGTCATTCTGCGAAGACAAGTTGTCTCCAATTAACAATTCTCCTGATAATCACTGAATACCAGAGTGATCTGTATTGCAAGAACTCTCCTCTCTGGCTTTTGCTGTAGTATGGCGAGGACACAGCAGCTGGGCTGCTGCTTCAGAATTCCTTGTGGAATGAGTAGATTAGGAACCTGCAGTTATTAAACTCGTGCTTTTATGTGCAGGAGATAGAGGGGAGCTGCAGATGGCTTCCTTTGTGATTCCTGGTGCAGGGGGAACTGGTGCCTCTCACAGCTGCAGGAGGCAGGGGAAAGGAGATGCCGGGGTTGGGGTTGAGGAGCCTCCTGTGAGGCACTGCCTGCATTTGTCTTTCCGGCAGGCGGAAAGCTACTCTGAAGTAGAACAGAGGAGCTGGTGCTTAGTGCTGACCAAGCCACTCCCTTGGCTCTGGGAGGAGGCAGCATCTCCTGAGCCATGGGACTGTGTGTCCGTGGAGGGCATGGTGGGCCAAGGGTCTCCAAGGTGTCAGGCACCAGCTCACACCACAGGAGGGCTCAGCACAGGAGCCATGGAGCAGTGAGGGTGGGGTGCTTTGGTCCTCCTTCCTTTTGATTTTCGTGGCGCTGATATGGCTCATGGGGTTGCTCATTCTTCCTTGTGCAGGAACAAGCACCTCTTCAGCAGAATGGGAGGGTGGAAGGGTCCCGCCCCTTCCTGGTGAACTGAGCGTGCACTCGGCATTATGCTGGAAGGACTGAGCACGCCCAGATAGAAACCATCATTGGCTTCCCCTTCCAGGTGCTGTTTGATGGTTTCATTCATAATTTTGTCCCCAGAGCTCTGGTGTGTGGCCTGACAGAGGCTCCATGTTAAAAAAAAGAGTGTCCTGTGGCCTTGGATTTGCTCACTGTAGGACTTTGCCTCACTATGTGGGTCTCATTGGCATCTAGCAACAAGTATTTTCTTGCTGGATCATCTGTGGCTCAGGCCAGTCTGTCGGGAGCACTTGTATGTGTGACCAACTCACTCTAGGACAAGGGCAGATGCTAGCCTTTGGAAGCGTCTGCAGCCCAGACAGGGTTGTATTAGGAGGAGCTGCATGGATGAGAAGGTTCAGGTCATGGCCTGAGCAGATGTCTGCTGTAGGCGCAGACGACTCTGTGAAGTTAATGCCTGCTCTGGAAGAATCGAGGCAGTTACTCATTCTATGGTTGTGAGCACTGTCTTTTTTTTTTTTTTTTTTTTTTATAAATTACTTCAGCGTATTGGTCGTTAGGATGAAAGTGAATAACCAGAAAAGAAGTGGCGCACAGTGATCACATTCATTGGCAAGATGTATAGAGCTCCTGAGCAGTGGGGCCACAGCCCTTCCCCCAGCCCACCACCCTTCGTTGACGGTCCTGTGCAGTTGCCAAATGACTTACTCCTTTCCTCTCATGGTATCAGCCCAGCATTGGCAATGTCAGAACCACATGATCTGTGCTCTCTGAAACAATATCACTTTTCTTTGCATGCCACTTGGCTTCCCAAGCTTTCTCATTCAGTGAGTCTATGTGCTAGTGAGTGAAACGGAATTCGGTCCCTGCAGGCTGACCATGAGCTCTTGATACGTGGGGTGAATCTCTGGGTTAGGGTTGGGGTTAGGTTAGCTACTGGGTTTGGAAAGCCCATTCTCTGGGTTTTTCCTACTTCATGCATACACTCGTGAACTCAACACTGTCCTAGCCCTGGCCAGGCCTCAAGCAGAGAGGGTCCATGGCAGGGATAGGGACAGCTGGACGGGGGAGCTTGTGGGTGGCAGAGTGCTGTTGTTGAGGTATTGAGACCAAGCCCACACCTCACTTGTGTGTCCCCGCAGCATGTGTGGTGGGTGGCAGGGGCACTGGGGTCAGAGCCTCCACAGTTGTTCACCCCTGAGTGGCAGCCCTGCTAGGAATTTGATTACTAGGTCATTATTTCATTCCTGATTATTTCAGGAAAGAACTGGTAGTAAAGTGATAATTTTTCATATGACTAACATCGAGAAGGAAGGCACACATTTCTATTTAGAGAACAGAGGCAGTGGAACTTGCAGAACTACTTTCCTGTCCATGTGTGTGTAAAGTGCTGTGCTCGCTGGGAGCTGATATCGACAGCGGCGGCCTGGGCCGAGCGCTTTATTATGACTTTGTGGGATAGCTCTCTGACTAGCACAGATCAGGGTGGAAGGACAAATCTTCCTCACTGTGCTCATGTGGAGATGTCCATTTGCTGCTGCTGGGCTGGGTAGACCCCAGCTTCCAGGACAAAACAGGGCCAGCAGGGCAGCCTACAGGAAATCCTGATGGGTGCAACATAGGGGGTCATAGTCTGCTCTCATCATCCTTGGTCTCCAGCTCATGGCCTCAGGCAGGGTTTCCAGGCCTCTGTGTCCTGCCCTGGGCCAGCTGCAGGCCCTGCTTGGTGTGGGCCTTGTGAGAGATGTGTGTCTACCTCTGAGCCTTTGCTACTCTGGTCGGAACTCTCCAGCCATCTGTCATCCTCTTGTTCCCCTTGGTGCCACCGGGTCTAGGCCTAGGTCCTGTTCCCAGTGGACAGCTAAGCAGGCCCATAGCAGTAACCTGCGCCTTGCAGGAGACCTGCCATCCCTTCAGTCTGTTTTCCTGAGGTCCCGAGCCAGGATGCTCACAGCAGTAGAAGATGGGGTGATGAGAGGGGCTTTGGGAAGACCAGCCAGAGGGAGGAGGCAGGGTTGGGCCACTGCATCATTACTCAGCCACCAGAGAGTTTCCTGCCCATTTTGTAGGTGAGAAAATTGAGACTCATGGCCGAGTGACAGAAAATTTTTGCTTTTTGAAAGACTTGGTAGAGCAACTTTCATCAATAGAAACACTGAGCAGAAGAACCAGCGGGTTCCCCGGCTCTGCAGTTACCTGCACTCTGCCTGTCTCAGAGGGACTCTCCGCTACTGACCATGATGCCCAGACATGTTAGTGCCCGCATGTCCAGCTTACATAGGCCACTACAGTGTGGTCTAGACAGATGTTTGGAGATGGCAGGGCACCATCGTGGGCTTACACAGAGTTTCACTGCCCTCAAATTCTTTGGTGCTCCATCCGTCTCCTAACTCCTGTGACTGCTAACCTCTTACTGCACTGCGGCGTTGCTTTTGGAGTCATGGTAGCCTCTTCTCCTTTGCTTCTGGAACCTCCTGATACACGCAGAGTTTGCTCTGTGTCTTTCATGGTGCTACAGTGTGTCCATGTGCATGTCACATGTGCATGTCACACCTTGAGTGCTGTGTCACTCGCCTGCTGAGGGCAGCTTGGCTGCTTCCTGCTCCAGGTGTTGGTGAACCCATCTGCCCATGAGTTTTTGTGTGGATGTAAGTTTCCAGCTCACTTGGTAAATGCAATGAGCACATGTGGTGTCCTCAAATGACACTGGCTTCTCAGGACTTGCTGGACTTGCCGGAGGTCTTCCAAGGCAACTCCTTCATCTGCCGCTCCCCACAACAGTGAACAGGGGTCCCCATCTGTATTCAGGTGTGATGTTTGGGATGCAGCCATGCCAGCGGTGTGCATGAGGTCTTGTCTGTGTCACTGACCTGCAGGGTTTCTGCCTTTGGGTCTGGTGCTCACTTCCTCCTCCTAGAGGCAAGATGGCCATGCAGGGTAGTGGTGGAGGAAAGTCGGGCAGGGGCTGGATGGGCTGTGAGCCCTGGGTGCTGGCCGTGCCCCTGCTGTCTTCCCAACTTCCCTACTCTGTGCTTCTTTAATGGCAGTGCTCCCAGAATGTGGATTTTGCCAGGGAGGTATGGCTCTGGAGCCAGCGCTGGGATGGGATGGGCTCTGCTCCCACCACTCGATACCTTTGCTGATCCAGACCTTGAAGGACTCCCAAGGGTATGCCGGATGGAAATAAAGTTCTGGTCTCAAAAACAAATGTAAGAAACACCCCACTGGTGGATGATGGATGGCCTGCCTGGTGCTGTGGACACACACATTTGTTGGAGCTGCTGTGATGACAGCATTTTCAGTGCTGGAAGAATGATGCAGGATACACACATTTCTGGAGGCGTGCTCAGGCCCCAGGTCCCCTGACCAAGGCTGTCCTCCTCACAGGTGTGGAGCCAGAGCAAGAAGGGGCCAGACCTGGATGCTGGCACTGCTGCAGGGAGCAGGAGGCAAGGATCTTGCACACAGGCTGCCCTCTAGCCATAAGGTCAACCAGGATGTTTGTGGAGTCATGTAAAATAAGCAAAGTGATCCAGGGACCTGAGTTTTTATTATTTGCATTTGTTAGTTTCTGAGGTGAATGGTGGAATCTTAATACTTGAGGGAGTCTAAGCCAAGCCACACTCTCCACAAGAGATGCTTTTAAGAAGCATTTTCCATGTATAGAGAAGACAGTGGGAGGAGTTATCTTTTAAAACTTTCCCCCTCCACCTGGATTGGAAAGAATCGATGGATTGGGCCTGAATGAAGGCCCACACTGACATATCCATGCAGGGAGGCCATGGGCAATGGCTGCTCTGACCTGCACTCAGCCCTCACACCTGGCCCAGACCTGCAACTTTGCCCCACATCCCCACCCTGGTGCAGCAGCAGATGTTGGGGAGGACACTTTGAGGTCCACCTGGACATCTCAGCCAACAGCCTGGGGCATATGAGAGTCACCATGGACCCAGGCTCTAGCTGCCATCCAGTATCACTGCTG